CATGTCCATGACCCTAAGGTCTACCATAAGTTGAATCCCTGAGATCTCTAACTCACAACTTCGACATATCTTATGAATGCAAACCCTAGCTCCTAGGGAAGAATTCACCTAAAATAACTCCTTTAAGGTTTCAACTTCTAAGCTCAAATCTTTAACACTAGATACAGAGATGAGTGAATGAGATGTACCCGAATCAAATAACACTCGTGCTCATAAATGAGAGAGTAGAAATATACCTTGAATCACTGACTAATCCACCAACTCATTCTAAGAAGTGACGATGAAGATTCAGCCCTAGGCCCCTGATAGCCCCACCTAAAATCCCTGTCCTTAGCCTCGGCCTACACCTTGGCTTATCTGTCTTGACTGTGGAGTCCCCACATGTGAAGTAGCTGGGACCTGCCCCAGTGCCCTGAGGCTAATATTGATTCCCCTAGCCCAAGATAGGGTAGGGAGGATTGTAATATGCCTATGGAATCTCCATTGATGATTGGGACTGAGAAGCTCTATAACTCTAGGATCCTTGCTCGAGATGGCAATCCCTCTACAAGTGGCCAGGTTGATTACACAAATAACATGCCTTTTGGACTCCTTGGTACGTCCCCTTGAAGTTCTTCCTTCCTTGGGAAAACTGACTCTGGCCTTAGCCATGATAATCCCGACCTTGCCCCTTTGATGGTGTAGAGGTCTTCTATTTTTTTCCCAAACTTGTGTTGGAGGATTGACCCTTTTTTTTTTTGTCCTTTGATCTGGCCTCGGGGATGCTCTTAGCATCATCCACTTCCCTTTCGATAGCCATGTTCGTCTCGACCATTGAGTCTAAGTCTTGTAGGCAATGACCCACAATATGACGTCAGATGGACAACTTCAACCCATCCTCGAACCTACACACCTTGGCCAAATCTGTGGCCATGTTGTCATCCACAAAATGTGCCAATTCTGTGAACTTGGCCATATACTACATGACCGTCATCATTCCTTGTTCATGAAGTGATCTTGGAACTCTTCCCATGTCATCGTCTCAATGTCTCTCGATGTCTTAGCCCAAGTCCACCATTGATGGGCCTCTTTGTCTAGTTGGAACATCGTCAACCCTATCTTGGTGGCATCAGAGGTGATCTCCATTGCATCTAATGGGGTGACTTGAGCCTCCTTGGCTCACATTGACACTAGATTGTACAAAACTAGCCACCATAGCAGTCATGGTATTCATAAATGCCTCTCTGATCATAGACAGGTGGTGGTTTCAAAACTTCTCCACCATTTCGACGCCCTCGTCCTTTAGTTGCCATCCAAAATGCACAAGATAGCAATGGCCCTAACTTAGTGTCGTGGCCATTAAAATGTCAAATCATTATAAAGTATATCACAATGATGCAATAAAGTCATAAAGAGAACATGAGAATCAGTTTCAAAACTTCAAATAAAACCTTTAAACTATAGACTATCATGTTCGAACTGACCTTTCACGTTTGAATGATAATTTGCATTCGAACTTACGGAGGTCCCAGTATCTTAGTCTCTAAGATTTTTGTCAAAGTACTAGGAGCTCGTGTTCAAATGTAGTTCATGTTTGCATGTGGATAACGTTCAAACGGGATGAGGTCCCAGTATCTCAGTCTCTGCGATTTTCAGAGATTTCTGCCAAAGTACTAGAAGCAATTGATGTTCGAAGGTGGGTGGCACTTTAACATAGCCCCTCCTTTTCCCCCTTATTTGTGTTTTTTCTTTCTTCGCTTTTCCAATCCTAAGGCTATAAGTCCATTTAGGTTTTTCCATATTCTTTATTTTCAAGCATACATATAATCATACACTTAACACATAACAAAGAACATGCAATATACATGAATGCAATGCTCTAACCCGATATTCCTGAAACGAAAAATGATAGACTCACTTTTCACAAGACCCATGTAAGATATAAAGCTTAAGTTCTAATACAAAGAATTGACTCCTCAAATTTTGGGGGTATTTTCTTAACCCATTGAGCATCCTTCAAGCCGCGGAATACCCTGGATACTGTATAACCTGATACCCTGCCGTAACATCCCATTTACCAGGACCCATAATTAAACAAAATTCGAGCAGAGTCTCCTTTGTACCGGGAGCTCTACCCAATACACAACTTATACATACAACACCCATAAGACCATTTTAAGGTTCAACATCCCAAAGTCTAAGTATTAAACATTAACCATTTATCCATAACCATCATTATACAACATCCATTCATTAAAAAAATAAATGCCCATACATAAAGTCCCAATTAAAGCCTTTAACAAAATACTTGTACTTAAATTTATACAAGGCCAAAATATAAATGTACACAAGGGACTACAAAATCCATAACAAGAGCCATAACCCGGCTTTGTCCTCAAAGTGGGCCCATAGGAGGGCCGTCAGTAGAAGTTTGTCCCATATCTAAACAATGTTTTCACAATGGGGTGAGCCGAAGCCTAGTAGGGTATCTCTTATAGACAAAACCTTTCAATCCCAATGCATATGATATGAATGCACTTTCATAAAGTCAAGCATATATCACAAGTAACATAAAAATGATAATAAGCACGCCAAACATGAATAATGCTTCATGAATGCATGTCCAACATTGAACCCCTTCCTGGGCTCCCACGCACGACAAATGCTATGATGCTATGACAAGAACTAGGCATTCCAAGCTCCCGTTATTAATGTTAAGCATCTAATGACCATTTATCGATACTTGTGCTTTCTTGTGTAGGTAATTTATGAACATCACACCAATGGGTTACCAAATTGACATGACATTCGAGGACATCTCACCTTTGATTCCGAGTACACTAACACACTTTTCTAAAATTACCCCGTCAGAAAAGTGTGAACCAAGTAACCGGGCTTTGCACCCGAGGAATAACTTATCCCTTCCTTCTATACCCGACACATTTTTCATGCAATATTCTGTGCGTCAATTAGATATTTGTCCAATTTTTCCGGCCCTACCAATTAACTCACCATGTGGTGATTGACCCAGCCCATTCACACACACTCACACTCATTCCCATACCCATGAATGTAGAGCAACCCATGCATATGCAATGTAATGTACAATTGGAATTCTACTCCATTACAATGCTAACTATATCATGTAAGCATGTGACAACATTTCATAAGCATCAACATGTTATTTATATTGTGAGGCATATAATAACATCCCATAACCATCATCAAGATGTTATAGCATTAACAATCCAAATAACATACTTGCACGCAATTAGACATTTTATCAAACTCCTTTTAGGCATAAAGTGTAAACATATAGCATACCAAAATGCATCACACATAACCCACATGTTCAACACTCAAATCAAGTAAGAATAGGCATAACATGCTCATCAATTAACTCAAACATTCCACTAGTTACATGGTAGTTAGGTAAATAATCTACATAACCCTACCCATATCATATGCATACGTGAAATTAAGAGTAATCCTAAATAGGAGCAACCCCTGACCTCTTGAAGTGTAACCAGAAGAAAATCTCTCTAGAATACCCAAAGCAAGTCCTTCAAAGCCCTAGCCCCAACACCCTCAATTTTTGAAAGTGATGGAAAATAGTCATTGTTAGTATTGATGTGTTGCCCTCGTTGAGTAGAACAACTTTAATTTCTAGTTGATCGAATTCTAACAATCAGATCAAAAGTTATGAAATGAAGAAGAAGGAGAAGCTTGAAGAAATTGTTTCTCTCTCTCACTCTCCCTAATGAAAATGCAAGGCAAAATGGGGGAAAAATCTGATTCTCCCCCTAGCCAATCACAATGCGACACTTGTCCAATTGAATAATTTTATTTAAAATATCTAGATCATTTGTATAATGGGTCCCATGAATAAAACCAAGTTGTTAGAATTTAATCGCGCATCACCTGATCGCAAGTTTTGCCTCGCTTTACCTGAAAATTCCGACTATCTTAGAATTTAATGAAATTTGACTAGCTAATTCAATTTTGCGAGACAAATCCAACCGTGAGATCCATTTCTTCATCCAATTTAATTAAAATTTCATATTTTTAACTCACACTTAAACGGCTTAATTACTGTATTACCCTTTTAATTAAGATTTTAATTTATCGGGTTTTATATTATGTGCCGTTTGATAATACTTATTTTAATTAACTTCTTTTAAACAAAAAATAAAAAAATAAAATCATCAAAAAAGTAGAAACGTGTTTAATTTCTATTTTGCAAAAGTGATATTGATGAATGGTACACTTACATAACTACATATTAAATTATATGCTTGGGAGAGAAAAACAAACAAATAAAAATTAAAACTAAAAAACAAACTTTCTTAAAAAGTCAAACCTCTCTTAAACTCTATCAAATGCTAGCCCAAGCCTTACTTAAAAATTCAAACCTTTCTCACACACTCTATTAAATGCTAGTCCACACTTTAAAGGGGGAAAAACATTGTTCACTCTGTAACCGCTACGAAATAATTCTTTGAACTCAATGATCCATGATGACCAATTTTACAAATTACCACGAATAACACACGAAGTTGAAAATAACGCAATTAGTTAAGAGAAATAATAAATAGCTTGGGCTAGCTTTACACATGAATTATCCATTTATTGATATTGTAAGAAGTAAATGTGCTTACTTTTTATTTTGATTTTCATTCTTAATATAGAATTACTAAAATATTTTAGTAGTAAGTATTTTTTATTAACATGAATATGACATGAACAATATACGAAACCAAAGTAACACGACTCAAATATAATAATAACAACTCGGTTGACAACCCCAATAATGAACACAAAGTTTATAACAAGTCAAAAGCTTGCAAGTCCTATGTCCACATGGAATAACCTACCAATTTATAATCTTTCATAATTTATATAGAGAAATTTGTTTGAAATACATAAATGAGTGACCATAATGCATTTTAATTGTTGTTGACCACATCACACCCCATTCACCTATAAATTACAATAGTTAGAACACTATTTTTCATCCTAAGAGACATGGATTTGGAAAGCAACCTTATGAAAACCATATACATAGTGAAGGCAGAAATTGAGAAGCAGGAGAAGGAGAATCGAGTGCATGAGTTGGAATTGATTCTGGGCAAAGTAATGATTAATGAAAAAATGCTCAAGGAGCTTATCCTAGATGATTTGCTAGACTTGCGGGGGCTTGTGGATGAAAAAATGAAAGAATTTCGCCAGGTGCATGGAGTTGTTGAGGATAACAACTCTGGAGAAGCTAGTGGAGAGAAGAATTAAAAATAGAGTATGAGTAAATGTACTACCTTTGTTAGCCGATAATAAAAGCCTTTGTGCTTTAACAATCTTATGTTAAGATGTTTTGCAAATTGAGTAATAATTTTTACTTTTTTAGGCTAAATATCATGGATGCCTTTGGATTTTGATGCTAATTTTAAAGTGCATCGTAATTTAATTTTTTTTTCTTGTCATCCTTGAACTCTTAAAATAATACTAATCCACTTTTGTTGTCCAATTCTCAATCAAAATGAATGGTTAACAGACCATTGTCCCTAGACGATTTTAAAGCTTTCCCTATCCCTTTAAAGGATTGAAAATCTCACATTTTACTTGGAATTATTTAATGCTAATAATGTGTCTCGTTTTACCCCAATTAGAGATACAAAATTTTGAAAAAAAATAGGGCGAATGAGACAAATTATTGACATTTAAATAAATTCACAATTTCGTATATGAATCTATGCTTTGGAAGGGCAAAGTGGGGAAAGTGCAAGTCCGGCCCAAAGGGTAGGCAACTAAAACCTTTGCCAAGGGGCCCCCAAATAATGTTTTTGGACCCAGGTTCAATTAAGTCTAATTTAATTTTAAAGTTCCTAATACAATTTTTAGATTAATGTATAATCAAGTCCAATTTTACTTTAAGGACCCGAAATAAAATTTTTAGACTCGAATTCAATTAAGTTCAATTTTATTTCAAAGACCCAAATAAAACTTAGGTTTAATTAAGTCTAGTTTTATTTTTTAAGGCATCAAATTAAATTTCACACCCATATTCAGTCAAATCCAATTTTATTTTTAGAGTCCCTAAAAATTTGATAAGAAAGCTTTTAGATATAGGTTCAATAAAGTGAAATTTTATTCTTTTCGACCCCATGTACTAATGTGAGACCCATGTTTATCAGTACATGTCAAGCATTAATTGAGAAACAATAGAGTTTATGAAACAATTTATATTTGTGTTTATATTTATGAGGCATCTTGATAATCATTCCTAAACAGTGACATCTCATTTCTCTCCCTCTGGAGAATTTAAAATATACAAAATCAAATTCAAGTAGATGAATGAACCATTTGGTAGTTTCTTAAAGTATGTAGTATGATCATAATCACCTTTGTTGTGGCCTTGCTTCAACATGAATGTGTAAGATCTTTTGTATATCTGTCTTGGAAAATATTTCAGATTGTACGATGACTTTCTTAGTTTCAACACATGAGATTCTTTACTAGCAACCTTAAAACATTGTTTGACCAAAAAAAAAAACCTTAAAACATTTAAGCTGAGTTATGAAAATCTCTTCCTCCCACATCCCATGAGAAAATAATAAAAAAACAAACGGCCTTTACATCAAGCTACCGTAACTTAAGATCACATTACAACGGTCAAAAACATATGAATTGAATTGTGCTTTATCATTGGTGAACATATCTCATTGTAATTCACCCCTTTTTTGTTACAACTATAACATTGTAAATTCTTCTAGACTTTGGATTTAGATTTGTATCTTTTTGTGACACCCCTAAAACCAGGGATCCTTTGTAACCCATTGATCACCCATCAACCCGCAAAAATACCTGTGAATGCCATATAACCCGAAACTACGGTACAACATCCCTTTTCACAACAACACAAAGTTTGGGTAGAGTCTTCCTTGTACCAGACACTTTCAAACGCACAACTTGTATACCATTCAATCACATGACTCATCCAAGGTCCAATATACATCAATTTACTTTCATTTATTGTCCATTTATATCATTTGGACAAAAGAACCCAAGACCCGAAGGCTTAGCAAAAATATTTCAAAACTTGAGATTTGAACAAAACCTACTGGTAGAAGAACTTAGAGTTCTACAGGTAGAAAAAGCCTACTAGAAAAGTTCTATCGGTAGGAAAACTCACTGGAAATGTTCTACCAGAAAAATACGACATTGTATCGGTAGAAAAAACCTACTAGAAATGTTCTACCGGTAGAAGAACTCGTCATTCTACCGGTAGTTCTTTCTAGTTTTTCCCCGATTCCATCCTTTTTCAATTCCAATTCATTTCAACCTTATAAAACATAACCCAAACTCATACTACATTCAATTTTACATAAAACATAGTCCATATGAGTTCGATTACAATTCTTTACATACATTACATACTCAAAAATAATTAAAAAATATTTTAGTTTTACAAAACATGATTTAAAAGCCACATTTCGGCTTTTCTTCATCAATGAGAATCCGAATGAGAGACGCCCACCAGCGCATGTCCCGTACCTGAAATTCTCCATTTAAAAATATGCAATTCATAATGGATTCTCTATGTCATGTCTTGTTATGAGATGATACTCACACATGCAATTTAATTCGAACCTTCACCGGCTCCCATAACAAATGCAATGTTATGCGTACAAATCCGGGAATTTCAAGCCCCCGCCATTGATGTTGCACATCCAATGACCATTAAAATTCTCACACACCCAACGGGCACCCAATCGACACAACATTAATGGACTTCCACCAATAACTTCGCGTACGCGTACGCTGACACACTTTATGGACTCTACACCAACGAAGCGCATATCCAATTGTCACGCCCCTAAAATCGGGAGTCCCGTTGACCACCCGTCAACCCACGGAAATACCTGTGATTATCGCATAATCCGACATCAAGTCTATTACATCCCTGTAACCAGGATTAAAATTCACACGAGGATCCGTGTTTCCTTTAATCATTTAATCCTATCGAGGTTGAATATACCCCAATGTATCTCATTTAAGGTCCATTTTTGTTATTGGAACCAAAGAACACATAGCTCAAAAACATGGCAATGCAGTCTTAAAATTTCAGATTTTTGAAAAACCTTCGGGAAGATTTTGCTCCACCTTTTGGAAGGTTTTACTTACTGGAAAAGTTCCTTCAGAGGTTTTTCATTGACCTTTCGGTAGGTCTTCATAAACCTTCCGGAAGATTTTGCTTACTGGAATCCTATCTTGAAGAAAGATGTGTCAACCTTCTGGAAGGTGTGTTCAAACCTTCCAGAAGAAGTTGCACACTAGATTCCTTATTTTGTGAAGAATATGAAGACCTTTCAGAAGGTTAGAATCGACCTTTCGGAAGGTTTCACCCACTGTTCGACAATTTTCTGTGTCTGTCCAAACCTTCCGGAAGGTTTGTTACGACCTTCCGGAAGGTTTTGCCCAGAATTGTCTGTTTCACCTATTTTTTATTTCCAATTCATCCAAAACATTTCTAAACTCATTCCCAACATGTAAAATATAGTTTTCTACATTATACATGATCCATACAAGTTCTATCACATTTGATTCATACATTTACAAGTCAAAATGTAGTTTTTAATAAAAGTTTTACAAAACTTCATTTCAAAAGCCACAAGCCGGCTCTTCTTCACCCTTGAGGCCCCGAATGAGTGTCATCCACCAGAATGTACCCTGCACTGGAAATGTGTTCCCATATAGGTGAGCCAACGCCCAATAGAGTATTTCCTACAGGGGCTACTCCCCAACCCCAGTGTATATGCAATGTTCACATACAACATTTTTCCAACAACATTCATTCCAGCTAAGACTTAAGCAAATCAAAGTTGGAATCTAACATGCCATGCCATGCCATAAAATGAAATGATACCATTCATGCCATTTACCAGAGCCCTTCCTAGCTCCATAACATACACAATGCCAACGAGTATGAAAATCAAGCTTTTCTAGCTCCAGCCGTCATGCTATGCAGTGAGTATCAAAATCGGGTTTTCCAAACTCCCATCATTTGTGTTACACACCCAATGACTATTTAAAATCTCCAGGTCTTTCTTGGGTTGGGTATTTATGGACTTATACCAACAGTCACCCAACCGATACGGAATTCATAGACTTTCACTAACGGTTCCGCATACACCGACACACTTTTATGGACTCTTATACCAACAAAAGTGCGTATCCGAACACCGGATAGTCTAGCCCTTCTTGCTAACCCCGACCCAATTCTTTTTCATGCAACCGTGCGACTCAGCCGGATATTCAATCCAACTTTTTCGAACCCACCCATCATCCACTTACGTGGTGTTTCATGCCAACCACGCATCCACATCCATAAAATGCGATGTCTCCTTACATATGCAATGTAATGTGTCATTGTTATCTCAATGTCATGCCCCATATGTGATGAATGTCATATGAGCAACTTTAACCACATGTGTACATATATCATGTAATTTATCACCAATTTCATCACAATGTCAATATATCAATGAACATATACCAACATTTCATTTTCAATAATAATTCACAAGCATGTTATTTCCTCATATATATACCAACAACACACTTTGTTCACAAGACATAATTTAAGCACATAACATGCCCACATAATATCAACTCCATGGGATTACTCAAGTAATTACCACATACCAATCCCAAGCTAGGAAGTCAATTTTCCATACCCAATTCACCAAATTAATCAATTCTATCAACTCCAATCCATAGGAAAGTGATATAAATCTTTACCAATCTACCCATTACATAAAACACTCTAGGTTGTAAAATAAACCCAAGTAGGAAGGAACCTTACCTCTCGAAGCATAAAGAACGACCGTAGGAAATCCCAAGAACCCTCTTGTAGCTAGAATCTTCTCCTCCCAAAAATCCCGTCCTTGGAATCTCGCCCAAAATCGAACTCCTTGATATGGTTTTGTAGCTCACATCAAGGAGAACAACTTTCCTTCTTGGCCCGAGTAGATCCGAGCACCGTGTAGTTGTAAATTGTAGAGAGAAGGTGGAGGATCCAAACTCTTTCTCTCTCTTCTTCTATTAGCTAACGGATGGATAAGAGAATGTGGGAAATTTTGATTTTTCCCTATTTATATTTCTCAATGCTTGGCCCACAACGCGCCACATGACCTTATTTTTTTCGGGTCCGTTTTCGCCCCAAAATAATTAAATTTCATTCCGGTTTAAGTTCAAAATATTTTTATTTTTAACTTACCTTAAAATAATTT